GAAGCGAGGCCGCCGCATGCACGAAGCCGCGACAAACAATGCGCCATGCCATGGCCGCTTGAGCCTTGCCCGGCCCAGAGCGGCCGCCGCCCCTCCCTTGAAGATCCGCCAGAGGATCGCGACGAGGACGCGTCCTCCTCTTTCGATGGCCCTCGTACCTCGGCTTCGAGCCGCCATAGCTCTTCAGAGGCTATCGCTGTTTCTTCACCTCACGCCCAAGTCAGAAGGCTGCCCGTAACATCCGTCATCTTGTCCGCGTCTGTTCTCGACGTCACCTCCGACAACCTTTCGCTGGTGGCGCGAGCAATTCACGCTTTCGCCACAGGCAATACTCCCTTCGAGGCCATGTTCTTCGTGACGATCGTCCCTCGAACTCGCCAGATCGGGAACGCATGGATCGCGTCGTCCGCTCTTGGCTCTACGGCACCTCTCCGACAATCTCCACGACATTGTCCGGCATCGCGGCGCGACCAAGGCGACATCGCCTGTACCACCACGGCTTGCCATTGAGAGCCAATTTCTAAGAACCGGAGGCGCGCTCTCTCATTCTTGACGCCAAACTTCGCACGCTTGTCCAAGGGGACCTATCTCATCACCGACTACTCGCAGCTTCTCAAGACCACCACCGACAACCTCGGCCGATCTGGGTGAACCTGTCAATGACCGCTCCTCGTCCCTCAATCTCATCCGAGGTTTGAACGAGCGGTTTGTCTCCGTTAGCCGCCATCTTCGACGCAACCGTCCCTTCCTTCCTTCTTGAGGCTCGGCGACGAGCTCACTCTCGAGGAGCTTACCATGGGGCCCCGACCTGCCTCCTCCCACGGCTCTCGTCGCCAGCACAGGCAGCGGCTCCTCGTCCCCTCGTCCCGCCTCCCAGTAGATTTCTGGGCATCCCAACACCGAGCCTGGGGGTGGCAAAGGGGGCGGCTTTGGTGGCAAAAACAATCGTCATGGCCACGGGGCGGCGGCAACAGTGACACAGGGCGGCAAAGGCGGCGGCTGTCAGCACGCGTCTGCTTCCATCCAACCAGGGGCGAGTGGGTCTTGGCCCACCCACTACAACCTGTGGCTCATTGTCCCCGGCGCGTCCTTCGCTTCGCAGATGCACCCACCCACCACCACACACGGCGAAAGGTTGTTGGCACAACAGGAGCCTTCACGGCTTCAGCAAAGAAGACCTCCAAAGACCGCTTTCAAGAAGCAGAGACTGCAGCAGGCCTCCTCCGCTTGCCTTCTACGGTCAGCAGGGTGCTCCTGTGCCTTTCTTCGGCACCTCCCGGCTTCTACACCTCTCCAACCGGTCTTCCGGCGGCCTTCGATCAGCAATCCCTTGCTTCCACCTTCAGCACCATGACACTACAGCAGCCGCCGAACAACGACTGGTACTTCGACTCAGGTGCCACCTCCCACATGACTTCTGATTCTCGCACTCTTTCACACCCTAACTCTTCACAGTATCCTTCTCCTTCTTCTATCATTGTCGGTGATGGCTCCTTACTTCCTGTCACCGCCACTGGCACCACCACTCTCACCGATTCTCTGTCCCTCAATAATGTTCTTGTTTCACCACGCCTCATTAAAAACCTCATTTCAGTACGCCAGTTCACCACTGACAATAATTGTGCTGTTGAATTTGACCCTGCTGGTTGTTCTGTGAAGGATCTGGAGTCTCACAAGGTGATCATCAGGTGCAATAGCTCCGGGCCCCTCTACCCATTACATCTCCCCGGCGCCACCGCCCTTGCTGCTGATTCCTCACCTGCACTTTGGCATCGTCGGCTTGGCCATCCTGGTCGTGACACGTTGTCCAAAGTCACCTCTGTTATTCCTGGCTGTACTAAAGAACTTGGTTCTATTTGTCATGCGTGTCAGTTAGGGCGTCATACACGCCTTCCGTTTCAAACATCATCTTCTCGGGCCTCTAATTTATTTGAGCTCATTCACTGTGATTTATGGACTTCCCCAGTTGTTAGTGTTTCTGGCTTCAAATACTACTTAATTATACTCGATGATTATTCCCACTATGTTTGGGCGTTTCCTCTTCGTCTCAAATCTGACACGTTTACCACTCTAACTAACTTTCTCGCCTATGTTCGCACTCAGTATGGCACTGCTGTAAAAGCTATCCAGTGTGACAATGGCCGGGAGTTCGATAACTCTATCTCCCGCTCCTTCTTCCTCACCAACGGCATCCACCTTCGCATGTCCTGTCCATATACTTCATCTCAGAATGGGCGGGCTGAGCGCATGATCCGCACCATCAATAATGCGGTTCGCTCCCTTCTTATTCAAGCTTGCATGCCCCCTTCATACTGGGTTGAAGCATTACACGTCGCCACACATGTTCTCAACATCCTACCCACCAAAACCCTTCACTCCTCCACACCTCACTCTGTCCTGTTTGGTGTTCAGCCCCAATACGACCATCTTCGCGTCTTTGGCTGCGCTTGCTATCCTAACCTTTCCGCCACAGCCACCCACAAACTTGCACCTCGATCCTCCTTGTGCATCTTTCTTGGCTATTCCTCCAACCATAAAGGATACCGCTGCCTCGACCTTCAAACCAATCGTGTTCTCATCTCTCGACATGTCGTGTTTGATGAGAACTCGTTCCCCCTTTCCCAGCAGCCCACTCCTCCCAATCCAGCGGACTTCGATTTTCTAACTGATGATGCTGATCCCATGCCCAGTGCACCACTACCTTTATTTCCTACAGGTACCTCCGTTGGTGTTCCTGCACGGCCACGTGCAGCACCCCCTGTCGGCACGCCATCAGCACCCTGCACGGACTGTCCTCGTGTGGCATTCAGTGACGGTGCAGCCGTCGAGACAGCAGCTGCCACTCCGGTGCCGGGCAAGGTTCTTTCACCAATATCAGGCGCCCGGCAGGCCACTCCCTCTACACCTGCTGCTGCTGCAGCTCCAGGCACTGCTGCAGCCCGGCAGGCCGCTCCATCTACGCCTGCTGCTGCTGCAGCTCCAGGCGCTGCTGCAGCCCCCGGCGCCCCAGGTCCCTCCGTTCCTGCAGCAGCCCCCGTCAGGCCTCGACCACTGCTGGTGTATTCACGGCGCCAGGCAGTCGCTCCTCCTCCGCAACCGGCTGCCTCCAGCCCGCCGGCTCTGCCCAAGGGCGCCGTGTCTGTGCAGCCCACCGTCAACAATCACAGCATGACAACACGCGCCAAAGCTGGTCACCAGTTTCCTAGTGTCTACAACAGCACAACACTGTCACCGGTGCCCCGCAGCTTCCGTAGTGCCCTTACTGATCCCAATTGGAGGGCTGCCATGGAAGAAGAGTTCTCTGCTCTCCTTCAGAACAACACATGGGAGCTTGTTCCTCGACCGTCTCAAGGCAACATTGTCACTGGTAAATGGATTTTCAAGCACAAATTCAGGGCTGACGGGTCCCTAGAGCGCTACAAGGCTCGTTGGGTCCTTCGAGGCTTTACTCAGCGCCTGGGGATCGACTTTGACGAGACATTCAGTCCTGTTGTCAAGCCCGCCACAGTTCGGACAGTGCTCTCTCTCACCCTCTCCCGCGAATGGCCAGTTCACTAGCTCGATGTAAAGAATGCCTTTCTACACGGGACCCCGTCTGAAACTGTTTTTGCTGCACAGCCTGCTGGTTTTGAGGATCCCACTCATCCCGGATATGTCTGTCAACTCAACAAGTCTCTCTATGGTCTCAAGCAAGCTCCTCGGACATGGTACAGTCGCTTTGCTACATTTATTCTCCACTTGGATTTGTGAATGCCAAGACAGACACCTCCCTATTTATCTTCCATCATGGTGCCGACACAGCATACTTGCTGCTGTACGTAGATGACATCATCCTCACTGCCTCCTCCACAGCTGTCCTCCGTCGCATCATATCTGCCCTACAGCGTGAGTTCAACATGAAGGACCTTGGCAAGTTACACCATTTTCTTGGAATGCAAGTTCAAAGACCGGATGGATGTCTCGCTTTTGTCTCAAAGAATAATACATGATGGAGATTCTTGACCGGGCTGGTATGGATGAATGCAAACCTCGCTTACTCCAGCTTGACACCAATCCAAAGCTATCTGCATGTAGGTGGTGACCCGATTCAGATCCCTCGATTTTCGCAACCTAGCCGGTGCTCTTGATCACCTCACTTTCACTCGTCCGGACATTGCTTATCTTTGTTCAAAGAAGTGTGTCTCCACATGCATGATCCACGGAACCTCACTTGGCTGCCCTCAAGCGGATCCTTCAGGTATGTTCATGGACTCTACATTTGGGGTTGGTGCTCCGCCTCATCCCAACATGAGCCGGGTCGCCTACTCGATCTTGTTGGGCCGCTGCCGGATACTCATAGTCCACTTCTAGATATGCGGGTCTTCCTTGGTGATAACCTCATTTCTGGTCCTCCAAACGCCAAAACACTGTGTCCCGATCCAAAGGTCAAGTTTGAATATCGCGCTTGCCAACATCATTGCTGAAGCTTCCTCAGCTACGCCAACTTCTCAGTGAATTACAGTCCCCCTTGCAGCGTGCTACATTGGTCTACTGTGACAACATCAGCGCCGTCTACATGTCCGCCAACCCAGTCCAGCATCAGCGGACTAAACACATCGAGATTGATCTCCATTTTGTTCGGGAACATGTTGCTCTTGGCCTATATATTGTAATCCCTTGTAATCTGTGATCTATCAAATATACTATTCAGAGTTTCTCTCTCACAATAAACATTATTGTAATCCTCGAATTTGAACTCAGCCAACCGGAGATCAGCACGGACGTCGGCTGACCCCTTGGGCCATCCTCCTCCTCTCTATATATGTAATCCTCCTGTAATCTCCATCATTAAGTAATCTAAGCCTGTTAGGCTATTGTCTATCAATAGTCACCATAGTTTTAGAAGTAACACAAGACATTACAAGTTCAGATTCAACAGAATCAAACTGCAGCAGCAGCTTCACTTCAAATTGAGGATCGGCCGGGCAGACTACTAGTAAAAACGACTTGTTCATAGCTTATCATGCCTTCTGTTTTTTATTTCTCCTTTCGGTCAGTTGAGTTATTATATCAGGCAAGGTTGCTTCATTTATCTTGTGCCTCATGAGGTAAGGCAAAAGCCCTACCTTGTAATCTTGAATAAATGCATCCCTATACTGCAAATTGAAAAAAAAACAGAGAGAAATGATGTTATAGAGAGAAAAAGGGAAGTTCTTTCAACATACCTCCTTTTCGTTACACTTCAACCTCATGATTCTTGCCTCATCAGAACCATTGAATTTTTCCATGAAATACATGGACGCAAGGGCAGTGTCATTTGGCTCCACGTAGGTAGGAGTGTGGGCTAATTTCTTTCCAAACGCTGGCACTTTGTGTCCACAATTTCTGAAGCCATCCGTTAGACTTTCTCCCAAAGTACTACAGAAATCTCTAACATTTTGGTAGGAACCCGAGCGGCAACACACATGGATCTGGTCCTTCGACTGAGTAAAAAAGAAGCATACAACAATCCATTCATCGTCGATGAAAACTGGACAGTATATCTGTAAAAACAAACATTGATGTAACAAATCTTGGTGTTTGGCAGTTCCCAAAAAAAACAAACATGTATTGATGCACAACTTACGATAGTTTCAGTTGTGAAGCAGCGCTGGCCGCGAGCTTTCCGCCTGGGGACTACATCCCGAATCTTTGTCTTCAAATCTTGGTCGTCCTGTCCTTTTACCTTCTTTAATGGTGAGACAAAGATTCTTTTCAAACCACTCTTTTGTTCAGCATTCAGGCATTGCATGAAAAATTCCATAACCTTCTTGGCACCCTCACCTCCCTGGAGGGACTGCTCTAATTCAAACCCTGTCATTGAGATATCTGCAAATCTCAATACAGTCTTACTCTCACTTTTGACAAGGTCATGAACATCTTCAAGCACAACATTGTTAAGCCAGATGCGTTTCTCACTAAAATCCTTAGTCAAGGTTTGACGTTTTATTTGCCTCTCGCAACCTGATGGTAGTTCTGGGGATACTAGTTTTCTCTCGCAACCTGGTGGCATTTTTGGGGTACTTTGCTTCAGCTTTGAATCCAGCGTCCTCTTCTTTTTTCCTTTGGCAGCCTTGTTCATCTCCTCACCAGCAGCCTCGGTCTTACTTTGTTTAAGCTCTGAACGCTGCGTCCTCTTCTTATTTCTTTTGGCGGCATTTTTGTCAGCCTCCACTTTACGATCATCCTCGGTCTTACTTTGCTCAAGCTCTGAACCCTGCGTCCTCATCTTATTTCTTTTGGCAGCATTTTTGTTAGCCTCCTCCACTTTACGATCATCCTTCAAACTGCTGCTTGCATCCTCAACACTTTTTCCAGAGGCTGCCTCGGTGCCTCCAGCTGGCTTGTGCTCCTCACCAGCAGCCTTGGCCTTCTGTTTTTTCATCTCCTCACCAGCAGCCTCGGTATTATCCTCCAGCATTTTCTGATTCTGCTCACCGTCCGCAGCATCCACGGGCTTCTTTGCATCCTCAGCATTTTTTGCAGAGGCTGCCTTGGAGGCGGCCTCGGTATTATCCTCCAGCATTTTCTGATTCTGCTCACCATCCTCAGCCTCATCCGCAGCATCCACGGACTTCTTTGCATCCTCAGCATTTTTTCCAGAGGCGGCCTCGGTATTATCCTCCAGCATTTTATGATTCTGCTCACCATCCTCAGCCTCCACGGGCTTCTTCTTATCCGCATCCAGTGCGACATGTTGCAACAGATCCTCGGTTCCCTTTCCTGTTGGAGATGACAACCAATGATCATCAACAGGAGTATTTGCTGTAGGAGATGGCAACCGATGATCATCAACAGGAGTATTGAAGACACTGTGGCCTTGCTCTCCCCTTTCCTTTTAAACAGCAGTGTTGAAAACATCGCCATATAAGAAATTTTTGTCACTTCCCACGATAATAACCTCATCATCACCATGATCATCTTCATCTCTTTCGCTTTCGTTAAGAGGGTGGCAGACAAGGTCAATGGAAGTTTCCATGCGACATTTTTCCACCATAGCCTGCAATTTTAATTCATAATTAATTCTATGGGATTTGCAAGTCGGAATATAACTGTTGTAATTGTTGAATTACCTTGTCGATACTACATATCAGATTTCTGTTATGAAATTCTTTTATATACAGTAACACGTGGAATCCGTAGTCAAAACTGAAAAAAAATCAACCACAAAAGTGAGGAAGCAGCAGCAGCAGAACCAACAAAGAATATTTTGGTAAATGAATATTACTTGTTATCTTGTCGTTTAACCGGTAGGACCTTGACGCTGTACTGAGGTCCAACAGATGCTTGTTGCAAATGTTCCTTCAGTGTTGATATAATACCATTAATCGTTGAGATTCGGGACAAGCTGGGCAGTGAATCAAGGACATAAAAGGTGTCCTCTTCACGTGAGAACACGATCAGGAACCAGTGGTCATCGTGAACAACAGGGATGAATATCTGCACCGGGGGGGGGGTGAGTATTCCATTGTAAAACTCAGCAATATAAATAACTATGTCCCCAAAAGAAAATAAGTAACATACCAAATTGGCTTGCTTTGGATTTTGTGGTCCAAGCTCCTCAGCTAATTTACCTGTTCCACGCTTTGGATCTAACAATTGATACTAGAAGAAAATTGAAGAGATGTAAATCAACAATTCATACTAGAAGAAAATTGAGGAGATGTAAATCATGGATGTGTGCATAAAAGTACTTACAACTGCCTGTTGAGATAAAATAAGTTTGTCCTCCCAATCTCTATTCCAAAGTTCACATAGTAGGTACATGATGGCTGTGTGCATCAATCCTCCTGACTTGAAGCAATCTACATAAACTGATTCTCTCACAACATGGCCCAATATTTTCAATTTTACTTTGTCTCTGGTTCTTTCAACAACATTCTCTTGGTAGAGACGAGGATAATCCCTGAAGAGTTACAGAGGTTAATAAAACTATCCAAAGAGTTGGAAAACTACAGAGACCACCTGTTCTTTACCTTTGTTCATCACCATGAGTTGGCATCAGTTGAAGCTGATCCTGATGGTTGTCGAGTATCGCTGCTCTGTTTCCATAGCATGTTTCATTGAAGAGTTAAACTGAAATGGGACAGGGATTAGCAAGTTTCTTCCAAACGCTTAAACTGAAATGGGACAGGGAGCTCATATTACAATTGATCTTACTTACCTCGAAATTTTCAGACATCCCTTCACCTACCAATCTCTTGATCATGGACAAGTTGTATTGATTTATTCTTGGGATCTCTTGGAGGTTACGATTAGGATCTTCAGCGTCCTTGATGAAGTCCAAAAAGGAATCTGTGCATGATTCTACAGTTAGATAATTGGCTTATGAGAGAGATAAACTATGGTGACTATTAAGATTACTTATGGACAGAGCAAGGGTTACTCTTGGAGGTTACGATTAAGATTACTTATGGACAGAGCAAGGGTTACTGATGAAGGTAGGATTTTGCTGCCCATAAAGGACGAAGTGGACCTAATCCTAGAACCAGAAGATGTCTCTCTCATTCTCGGAATTGGCATGGCGGGTGGTCAGAGCAAGGAGCTTCCACAAGCTAACGACCAAAGTTCAAATGTCCTCGACAAAATGTACAGTCTTTTGAAATATGCTTCTGATAAGCATGGTACCAAGAAACATCCTAAGCCTGTGCAGAGTAAGGACAAGGATGATGAGCTTGTGCAAGGTCAGGAGCAGGATGAGACTGTGCCAGGTGAGGTCCAGGACGAGGATGCTGGGGCTGGGCCGGGTCAGCCGGCCAAGAAGCACAGAAGAGATTATTTCTGTTCAGGGTCTATTCGGGCTTTGCTTTTGGCTTATAAACGTGACAAAGTGGTCCAGGCAAAGCTTAATGATGACATGATTGCCAAGTTATTTTGCATGGAGGTTTTGGATAGGTTCCTGCTTTCATCAAGCAGCAGCACTATACCCTCAACAATTCAAGATGCTGTTACAAATCTAGAAAATCTGAAGAATGTGGACTGGTGCACACTTGTCTATGAAAGAGTGAAGACAAGTATTATTGAGTGGAAGAATAGTTCCAATAAAAAGAATAAGAATGTCACGGGCTGTATTTTTTTGCTCTTGGTAAGTATCTTAGTTTCTCTTCTCGTTTTGTGTAGAGAGCCAATTATCTAACTGTAGAATCATGCACAGATTCCTTTTTTGGACTTCATCAAGGACGCTGAAGATCCTAATCGTAACCTCCAAGAGATCCCAAGAATAAATCAATACAACTTGTCCATGATCAAGAGATTGGTAGGTGAAGGGATGTCTGAAAATTTCGAGGTAAGTAAGATCAATTGTAATATGAGCTCCTCGTCCCATTTCGGTTTAAGCGTTTGGAAGAAATCTTGCTAATCCTCGTCCCATTTCGGTTTAACTCTTCAATGAAACATGCTATGGAAACAGAGCAAATGATATCGACAACCATCGTGGATCGACTTCAATCGATGCCAACTCATGGTGATGAACAAAGGTAAAGAACATGTGGTCTCCGTAGTTTTCCAACTCTTTGGATAGTTTTATTAACCTCTCAGAACTCTTCGTGGATTATCCTCGTCTCTACCAAGAGAATGTTGTTGAAAGAACCAGAGACAAAGTAAAATTGAAAATATTGGGCCATATTGTGAGAGAATCAGTTTATGTAGATTGCTTCAAGTCAGGAGGATTGATGCACACAGCCATCATGTACCTACTATGTGAACTTTGGAATAGAGATTGGGAGGACAAACTTATTTTATCTCAACAGGCAGTTGTAAGTACTTTTATGCACACATTCATGATTTACATCTCCTCAATTTTCTTCTAGTATGAATTGTTGATTTACATCTCTTCAATTTTCTTCTAGTATCAATTGTTAGATCCAAAGCGTGGAACAGGTAAATTAGCTGAGGAGCTTGGACCACAAAATCCAAAGCAAGCCAATTTGGTATGTTACTTATTTTCTTTTGGGGACATAGTTATTTATATTGCTGAGTTTTACAATGGGATACTCACCCCCCCCGGTGCAGATATTCATCCCTGTTGTTCACGATGACCACTGGTTCCTGATCGTATTCTCACGTGAAGAGGACACCTTTTATGTCCTTGATTCACTGCCCAGCTTGTCCCGAATCTCAACGATTAATGGTATTATATCAACACTGAAGGAACATTTGCAACAAGCATCTGTTGGACCTCAGTACAGCGTCAAGGTCCTACCGGTTAAACGACAAGATAACAAGTAATATTCATTTACCAAAATATTCTTTGTTGGTTCTGCTGCTGCTGCTTCCTCACTTTTGTGGTTGATTTTTTTTCAGTTTTGACTGCGGATTCCACGTGTTACTGTATATAAAAGAATTTCATAACATAAATCTGATATGTAGTATCGACAAGGTAATTCAACAATTACAACAGTTATATTCCGACTTGCAAATCCCATAGAATTAATTATGAATTAAAATTGCAGGCTATGGTGGAAAAATGTTGCATGGAAACTTCCATTGACCTTGTCTGCCACCCTCTTAACGAAAGCGAAAGAGATGAAGATGATCATGGTGATGATGAGGTTATTATCGTGGGAAGTGACAAAAATTTCTTATATGGCGATGTTTTCAACACTGCTGTTCAAAAGGAAGCTGGAGGCACCGAGGCAGCCTCTGGAAAAAGTGCTGAGGATGCAAGCAGCAGTTTGAAGGATGATCGTAAAGTGGAGGAGGCTGTCAAAAGAAATAAGATGAGGACGCAGGGTTCAGAGCTTGAGCAAAGTAAGACCGAGGATGATCGTAAAGTGGAGGCTGACAAAAATGCTGCCAAAAGAAATAAGAAGAGGACGCAGCGTTCAGAGCTTAAGCAAAGTAAGACCGAGGCTGCTGGTGAGGAGATGAACAAGGCTGCCAAAGGAAAAAAGAAGAGGACGCTGGATTCAGAGCTGAAGCAAAGTACCCCAAAAATGCCACCAGGTTGCGAGAGAAAACTAGTATCCCCAGAACTACCATCAGGTTGCGAGAGGCAAATAAAACGTCAAACCTTGACTAAGGATTTTAGTGAGAAACGCATCTGGCTTAACAATGTTGTGCTTGAAGATGTTCATGACCTTGTCAAAAGTGAGAGTAAGACTGTATTGAGATTTGCAGATATCTCAATGACAGGGTTTGAATTAGAGCAGTCCCTCCAGGGAGGTGAGGGTGCCAAGAAGGTTATGGAATTTTTCATGCAATGCCTGAATGCTGAACAAAAGAGTGGTTTGAAAAGAATCTTTGTCTCACCATTAAAGAAGGTAAAAGGACAGGACGACCAAGATTTGAAGACAAAGATTCGGGATGTAGTCCCCAGGCGGAAAGCTCGCGGCCAGCGCTGCTTCACAACTGAAACTATCGTAAGTTGTGCATCAATACATGTTTGTTTTTTTTGGGAACTGCCAAACACCAAGATTTGTTACATCAATGTTTGTTTTTACAGATATACTGTCCAGTTTTCATCGACGATGAATGGATTGTTGTATGCTTCTTTTTTACTCAGTCGAAGGACCAGATCCATGTGTGTTGCCGCTCGGGTTCCTACCAAAATGTTAGAGATTTCTGTAGTACTTTGGGAGAAAGTCTAACGGATGGCTTCAGAAATTGTGGACACAAAGTGCCAGCGTTTGGAAAGAAATTAGCCCACACTCCTACCTACGTGGAGCCAAATGACACTGCCCTTGCGTCCATGTATTTCATGGAAAAATTCAATGGTTCTGATGAGGCAAGAATCATGAGGTTGAAGTGTAACGAAAAGGAGGTATGTTGAAAGAACTTCCCTTTTTCTCTATATAACATCATTTCTCTCTAGGTGCTACCTATAACATTATTTCTCTCGGTTTTTTTTTTTCAATTTGCAGTATAGGGATGCATTTATTCAAGATTACAAGGTAGGGCTTTTGCCTTACCTCATGAGGCACAAGATAAATGAAGCAACCTTGCCTGATACAATAACTCAACTGACCGAAAGGAGAAATAAAAAACAGAAGGCATGATAAGCTATGAACAAGTCGTTTTTACTATTAGTCTGCCCGGCCGATCCTCAATTTGAAGTGAAGCTGCTGCTGCAGTTTGATTCTGTTGAATCTGAACTTGTAATGTCTTGTGTTACTTCTAAAACTATGGTGACTATTGATAGACAATAGCCTAACAGGCTTAGATTACTTAATGATGGAGATTACAGGAGGATTACATATATAGAGAGGAGGATGGCCCAAGGGGTCAGCCTATATATTGTAATCCCTTGTAATCTGTGATCTATCAAATATACTATTCAGAGTTTATCTCTCTCACAATAAACATTATTGTAATCCTCGAATTTGAACGAACACTTTGTTTTAGGTATGGCATTTGGGTACCGGTAGTGCCAGGGTTGTTGATGCTGTATTGGGTCCCCTGGACCATTCAGCATGAGATTGTTGTCTCAGAGGCTGCTGCTACTGCTGCCCCTGCTGCTCCAGCGATGAACACTGATGCTTGCAGCATCCATTCTAAGGCCTTCCAAGATGTATGTTTGCTTGCTACCTAATGCTGCTTTAGTTTTTCCTCAGTTTGGTGCATCAAACATTTGGTTACTCACTTCTGTGATGTGGTAGTAAAGGTTATGGTGACTTATTTAGTTGTTGAAGAGCTGCATGTTGTCATTCATTCACATTTTATTTGATATTCCTTCTACCATGGTGAAAACCTCCATTTTAAATAAAGGGTCTAAATTGGGTGACTGTGTGAAGTGACTGATATATGGCCCTTATCTGAAACATGTTCAGTTATTCAGTTAATTATTTTTGTTACTGTTAGGTGTCTATTTTTAGTTGATGTTTGGTCTAATGTGAGTGCGACATTGCTTAGTGATTGTCATTTTCCTCTGAGACACTGAATCTTTTTCAGTAGCAAGTGGTTCCTTTTTTCTCCTCTTTTTTTTACTGAGCCTGCTAATTACTTGTCATCGAAGCTAGGCTCTCATTCAAGATTAAATAGCAAGGATGTCATCGTTTGTGGGTGTTTGTGTGTCTGGGTGCATGTGTTTTTCTGGCCTTGATGATGTGTGTCTTTGTGTGCTCTCTCTCTCCCCCTCTGTTTGTGTGTGTTTGTTTGATGTCATGGTGAGGCAGATCTGCTATGTTTGTGTGATAGGTTATTTTGGCCTCACAAAGAGTGTTGTAAGTAGAATAGAATACCAAAGGATGAGCATAAGTTATAAAATTTGCTAATACCATGAAAACAACAACCTTGAAATGCTGTGGCTGAAGCTTCTCTACTGATTTTGTTCTTATGTTTTCAGCACTTCCTTTCTTTTGCTGTCATTTCATCTGCATTTATAATTTGTGCAGTACGTGCACAATAATTAGAACCACAGAACTGGCTGCTGCTCTAGACCGGCTTACTGATTTGGATAGTCAAAAGGATGATATGTCGTATTCCCCTGCTGCACTGCTCGACAAGCTCCAAAGTAAGTACTCTGAAGAATAACATCTTCAGTACCTTTCTTATCAGTTGCATACTTGTATCTGAGTTTGGTTATTTTCTGATTCATAATTGGTTCAAAGTACATTGCATGTTAGTGTTCAGACATATCTGTATGTGAAACGGCAACAGAAAAGTAATATGTAATTCCAAGTTTTTGTATTTGTGAGATGTTTGTCTCACAAACCAATCATACTGTTGTTTTCCTCAGCATCAATGGCAAAACTGGACGAGTAGTCTGAGGAGTTGCACCAGAAGTTTCTGGAGAAAATTTGTCAAAGAATTCATCAATGGCAAAGCTGCGTGCATCAATGGTTCAGCATCAAAGAATCTTGCACCTCTCTTGTTACAAAGAAAATTTGTCACAGTCCAAAAGGCATTGGTCCAGGAAGGCGAGCTTCTCGTGAGAGGGCCTGCCGTCATGACTGGTAACTAGCTAGGATCCCTATGAGATCCAAAGATGCATGATAAGCCGATGCTGCTCTGCAGCTGGATTCAGATTTTTTCTTTCTTTCTTTCTCTTCCTTTTCAACTCAAAAAATGTTCTGAAATGCAGGATATGTTGGCGACGAGGAGGCCAACGCTACTAGTTTTGATGCTGAAGGCTGGCTTAGGACTGGGGACCTTTGCTACATCGACCAGGATGGCTTCCTGTTCATGGTGGACAGGCTGAAAGAGCTCATCAAGTACAAGGGTTATCAGGTTAGTTACCAGTTTAATTTGGTCTTGTTTTCAAAGCACATGTCACCCTTGCACTTTCAGACTGATCTGGGTGATGTATTCATCGTTGTAGGTTCCACCTGCAGAGCTGGAGCTTGTCCTGCAGTCGTTGCCAGAAGTTATCGATGCCGCAGTCATGCTGTGGGTCCACTACAACACACACGTTGGTACAGTTGCAAAACATGCTCAGTTATATATCAGAAAGACATCGACCTTCCAACCCTTGTGTAGAAGCACAAGAAACTCCGCACGGCTTACCACAAGCAGGCGTTGCTCCATCTCGCCGGACAGACATCACTCCGCTGACATCTAGCCTGGTGTGCGTGCGCGCGTGTGTGTTCAGGCGCTTTTGCTCTGATGCCTTTGTTGGTTTTAAGAGTCAGCCTTGTGCGTGCGTGAACGTTTGTTTGTGTTGATGACTTACTACAGTGTGCAAGTGAGCAGTGACGATAGTGTGAGGCGGGTAAAGTGAACCAGCTGTGTGCGTACCACAAATCAAAAGTGTGCGTTTTTGTTTTTTTTGCTGTTAGTGGATGTTGGGTTTGAGGAAACCCGTTATGGGTGTTGACAGATTTCTCGAAGTTTTATCTGTCAGTTTTTTTTTTGGTGTGAGCTGTCATCTGTTGATTGGACCAAAATCTGACAGATTTTGACAACAAAAAACTGTCAGCAGATAACTAGATAGTCCCATAAAATAAACATTAATCAATAAAGTAAGAATTATTTACCAAAATCATATATATATATATATATATATATATATATATATATATATATATATATATGAACTACTCCCTCCATCCTAAATTGTAAGTCATTCCAAGAATCTTGGAGAGTCAAAGTTTTTCAAGTTTGACCAAATTTATATAACAAAATAATAATATTTATCATACCAAGTAAGTATCATTAGATTCTTCATTAATTATATTTTCATATTATACCTATTTGATGTGATCAATCTTTGTGTTTCTCAAAGTTTGACTCTCCAAGATTCTTGGAATGACTTACAATTTGGGATGGAGGGAGTACTGTTCTGTAGCTGGCTATAGAATAACTTATTCTGTGACCACTTTGAGTTACGATAATTACCATGCTAATTTACGATATTACAGTAACTTCTTACTAAGCGATTTACTATAACATTATTGTAAATACAACCGTGAGTTGTAGTAACACAAGTATCGTAAATACATATTCATGTTATTGTAAATTGGTACAAATATTATGGTAAATTAAGGTGGTTATAGAATAAGTTATTCTAATATATATATATATTATAAAGACAGGCTGAGTAGGCATGACGAATGATGTATCATCAAGCTGACGCTGAGGCTTCGGCGGCGAGGGCCGTGGCTCCGGCCTTGAGCTTCTTGGCGATGCCGGCGAAGTAGGTGCCTTGGTGTCTGGCTATGGCGAGCTCTGCCTCGGAGGGCGTCCTGCTGCCATCGGCGCCGGCGAAGGTCCCCGCGCCGTAGGGGCTGCCACCCCTGACCTCGTCGACGCCGAACATGCCGGCGCCGAAGGTGTACCCCAAAGGCACGAAAAGCATGCCGTGGTGCGTGAGCTGCGTGACGGCGGTGAGCGCGGTGGTCTCCTGCCCGCCGCCCTGCGTGCCTGTGGAGAGGAACACGCCCGCGGGCTTCCCCGCCAGCGCCTGGCTCTGCCACAGCCCGCCCGTGGCGTCCAGGAACGCCTTCATCTGCGCCGCCATCATACCGAACCGTGTCGGGAAGCCCAGCAGCACGCCGTCGGCGTCCGTGAGGTTGCGTGGGGAGATGACCGCGTGGTCCTCGCGCGCTGGCGCTGCGCCCATCTTCCCTAGCACCTCCTCTGGCAGCGTCTCCGCCACGCGCCACACCGTGGCCTCCACGCCGGTGACGGCGTCCGCGCCCTTCTTGATCTCCTCCGCCAGCGTCGCCACGTGGCCCCACGTCGAGTAGTACCTGGTGGTGGTCATGCGTAGGCATAGGGTTCAAGAATGAAGCATATACTGAATTCAAATTGTACACGGAGGAGATGAAATGGAAGAAGTGCTGGATCATATCATATCGGAGGAATATAGGATTTCGAATTGCAGGTTGCTTACACGATGTAGATCTTGGTGGCCATTGCTTTGTTTTTGCTTCACTTGTGATGTTTTGTGTTGAACTCAAAGGAACCGTGTGTGTGTCTTGCTCACCTGCTCTGCTCTTCTTGTTTGTGCTCTGCTCTCATGTGGTGATGGTTATATTAATAAAGGACGGCAGGAAGCAGCCGCAGCCGCAGGACGGCACGAGGGATGGATGGTTTGACTTGTACCACGATGACGATGGTCGATGGCTGACTGCCGTGCCATCCCTGCTCTCTGAGTTAAGAGTTGTTAACCGCCGGCGGCTTCCATAGTTTGATTTGATTTGCCACATATTGTTTCAACAAAAAGCTAATAAAGTAATTAAGGGGCAGACGCTATCATGGCGTCACCCTGACGTCTCCGGAGTCCGGCTGCCCTCGTTTTAGCCTTTAGCTAAGGGCACCTCCAACCTATATCATTGATTTATTATCATAGTAAGTCTAAGCAAACACTTTCCACTCATCTGCATATCATTGATTCATCATCATAGTGAGATTGTGAGTGATTCAAAGTGCATTTGCTTGAGTAATTGCATTTAGTGGCACTTGGAGATCGTTGTGGCTGTGGGTTTCTTTTTACTCTCGGTGGTTGCCGCTACCTAGACGGCTTGGAGCAGCGGAGGAGCATTGGCACAAGTTGGTGATTGTTCGTGGTCATCTCCCGGTGATTGTGAGAGGTCTTGTACCTTCCTCGGCGGAGCGCCGAAAGGTAACTCTAGTAAATTGTCTGTGTCATTGAGTCACCTCACTTGTGGGCAGGTTCTTGCGGTGTCCATATGTTGGACTAGGTTTGTAAAACACCTATTAGCCGCCGAACCACCAATTGTTGGTCGACACAACAGAAACTAGCATGCCGACAAGCACGTGAACCTCGGGAGAAAAATCTTGGTGTCCATTGTGATTGGAATTCTCTTAGTAATTGATTTGGCATTCATATTATGATTGGTTCATTCCTCTACACGACAGTATAACCTTCCTTCTCACTCCCTTGCACTTACTTTGATTAGTTGTGTAGCAAACTCTTTAGTGTAGCTAGTTTTGAGAGCTTGCTTGCTAGTTTAGTTTCACCTAGTAGAGCTCTTTAGCGTAGCCTTGTTAAGAGCTCTTAGTGAGTAGTGACTTAGCTTTTGTTGTGTGTCTAGTGATCATAACAACTAAAATTGTTTGTATAGGTGGCTTGCAACCCTTGTAGAGCTAGAGCAAAATTACATTTCGCCGTTTAGCATACTAACAAATTGCTCTAGTGTTCTTGTAGAGTTCTTATATAGGCTATTCACCACTCTCTAGCCATATTAGCACCTTTCAATACTTTATAATAGTCCAAATTAATTATATTTTCTTTTTCTCTCTCAATTTAATTTCTAACATAAAATCCCATACACACACCCACACACCCAAACTCAATGTCCAATTGTGATAAACTATCAATTATTTCACTTTTCTACCTATCTACTCCCTCCGTCTCATTGAAAGTGTCGTTTTTTATTTTTAGACTTCTTGTTTGACCGTTTGTCTTATTCATATTTTTGGTATAAATATTATTTATTTTGTTATGACTTATTTTACCATTAGAGATACTTTAATAATAATTTATTTATTTTATTATTTGCATAAAAATTGAATAAGATGAACAGTCAAACAATAAGTCTAAAAGTCAAAAACAACACTTTCAATGGGACGGAGGAAGTATATAACTTTGTATGTCTTCAATATGTACTCCCTACATTTCAAATTATAAGATGTTATAGCTTTTCTAGATACGTTGCATTTACTGTGCACATAGATATACACTATGTCTAAATACATAGTAAAAGTAATACATCTAGAAAAGTCAAAACGTCTTATAATTTGGGACAAATTAAGTATTTATTACTCCATCTATCTAGAAAAGAATACAATTCTAGTACAATACCAAGTTAAAGTATCTCGAGTGGTGACTAATTATAGATAACAAAATATCAATACTTATGATATCAAATTAAAAGGATCAAAATGCATAGAGGTAGGGTCAATAGGAGTTTCATGGACATTAACTAAGTTGATGTGGCGTATTTAAATGAAGAGAAAGATGAAAAATGGTTTCATGGAATAAAATGAGTTTCATGAGGATGAAACTTGTTACACTGTTTTCAACTCCCGAGAATCTTGGAAACATGTCCACGAAACTCCCACAGATAATGGTCCACTAAACTCGCTTCGGCATCTGTGATTAATCTATTATTTGTGATGACCGTTTGTTCCCGTGGTCCCATCAAAAACATATATGTGAAATATCCCCATAAGCATCTAAAGGGAAGTGAATTGATTGTTTAATTAAAACCTTAATTCTAGTAGGGCTCAAATAAAATTAACATAAAAAACTACAATATAGGAGTAGTTATTGGTACGACGTGCGCATAAGATTTTGTTTCCTTTTAGTGGACTAGATAGATATCCATGCGTTGCACCAGGGTCATAATTTTGTTAGATTGAATCTCTGTAATCGGACACAGAAGCATCAGGTCTGAGGATTTTGTATCGGACGCGGACATGTGGATGCGGTCTTCGTATCGAAACTGAGTAGGACATAGACGTGTGTGCTTTGAATGGAGGAGGATTCATATTGGACATGGACGCTTGAGCAGGGATCGAAAATTGGTGTCACCGGGTAGACCGTAGACGATGATATTATAGTTGTCGGTGTTTCGAACAAGCACCGGCTAGTAAATTTATAATTGTTACGCGTTAGGCTCGGATGGTGTACTAAAGGACACAAGGTTTATACTGGTTCGGGCAGAACGTCCCTACGTCCAATCTGTGGCTGCTCGTGTTATTAGTACCGAAAAAGGATCATAGTAGGGGGTACAAACGGTCGAAAAAGGGACAGGTCCCAAGTCTCTGATGGAAAGGTCGAAAGGACGCCAAGAGCTCGGTTGCTGCTTGGCTGTGTGTTGTGTGTTGAAAATGATCGATCAAAAGTCACCCCCCTTAGTAGGGTGCCCTGCCCTCCCTTTTATAGACCAAGGGGGAGCAGGGGTTACAGATAGGAGAAAGAGGAAAAAACCAAAGGCAGAGAAGGTCCTTCGGGGGAGTCGGGTCTTCCTTTTCCCGTGTGCCTGCCCTGCTAACATGGCAGACCATGTCAGGGATGGCGTGTTCGCTGATCCTTTTAGGGCCGTGCCCTGGCCTCTGTCAGCAAGTGGGTGCGTTCCATCCTACGCCGGC